ATCCCAGGCCAAAAAGTACAAATAAAGTCAAAAAGAGCAGTGTTCTGTTGTATACACTTCTGCATGAATAACTTTAACCGCTAAGGAAAATTAGAACTTTTCCGGGATCTTCTGACAAGGTTTGTCCTTCATCTTAAAATGCGTTCTCTTCAGTGAAGCCATCTTTGGAGCTAGTCATTTATTCTCACCACCTCTGTCATCTTGACTTCTACCTGATATCCCTCTTCTTCTGGTCCAGACCCTCAGATTTTAAAAGTAGCTTCAAGTTAAGGAAAGGTCATTTTTCCACAGTTCATTTCTCTGAAAAACTTCCATCTCCCACTGAAAGTCATAGTCCAAGAGTGAAGCAGTCACATTCAAGGCCAGCTGGAAAGTCATTATGATTACTTGCATTAGTCAGTCTTATCACAAGCCTGAAAGTGGACAGTCCTGGAAGGCGGCCTCTCTGTGCACGTATGTAATCTTTAAAAAGGAGACGGCAATATGAAGGGGGCTGAGGTTTGATCACCAAAACTCAGCACAGTGAAACAAACAATAATGAATAATAGACACTAGAATGCAAATTACCAGATGTTTTAAAGAGATGCCAGTTTTCAATTCTGTTTTGAACATCACGTTACAAAAGAACTATTTTTAAAAATAAAGGATTAGGGAAAATAAAAAAAAATAAAAAGAATATCTAAACTGTTGAGTGACCCCCTGTTTGTTCCTGATAAACTTCGATCACATCTTCTCCCTCTATTCCCAGTTCTTTTGGAGTATGATTATCAGTAATTCTCTGACCTTCAAAGAGAAACCTGAGTGAATTCATGGGAACTTCCTGTCTTTGACAGTATGATTCTTTGAGTTTCTTGAGATGTATTATCATTTTCACTTTGAAGTAAATCTCATTGCTCTCCTGTCCTGTGACTTTGAGTTTAATATATTCTCCTTCCTTCTTATCCCCCAAATCCTCAGTTGAAGGTTTTGCCTCCTGGTCAGACATGGTGATGGTGGCTTCCCCCGGGGTCTCTGCACAGCAGTGGCCTCGGGTAGGCAGAACCTTGCCTGCTTCATGTATTTTTCAGCTCTTATTGGCGGCGTGAATGTTTAGGATAATTACGTCTCTTGATTAATGCCTTGTCATTATGAAGTGACCTTCTTTATACCTTTTGGTAGTCTTGCCTAAAATTAATAGCTATTCCAGCTTTCTTTGACTAGTAATTAGCATGGTATATATTTTTCTCACCCTTTTGTTTTCACCTCTTCATATTTTTATATTTATATATAGTTGTGCCTTGTCTTCTCATCCTGTTGTCAGATTGCCTTTCATTGGGATGTTTAAGCCATTTACATTTTTAAAAAATAAATAAATTTATTTAAATAAAATAAATAACTTTTTTAATAAAATAAATAAATTTATTTAAAAAAATCTCTTTAGAGGGCGAAAAAAAGAGCGGGAAGTGTGTAAAGAATAAATAAGGAAAGAGAAAAGAATTCTTAGTAATTTTTCACGTATTCTCACTGAAAAATAATGAAGAGAAAATGGGTAGCTGAGAAGCAAAATTAATCCTGATTAAGGCCATTTACATTTAATGTGATCATTGAAAGGGTTAGGTGTATGTCTGTAATCGTCCTATTTGTCTTGTGTTTGTCCCCCCCCCCCCGTTCTTCCCTTTATATTCTTATTCTTGCTTCATTTGGATTCATTGAGTGTTGTTTTTAATCCCTTACATCAATCTTCTTTTAAAGAAGATACGTAGACAGATAAACAAGTAAATATAAAGAAACAAAATTGGAAAAGGGAATAGGAACTATCTGGTTTGGGTAATGGGGCAGGGAGCTGGTGGCAGTTTTCACTAGGATGGTCAGGAAAGGTGACATTTAAGCATATGACATTTAAGCAAAGACCTGAAAAAGATCAAGGAGTGAGTCATGTAGATCTAGGAGAAGACAATTCCAGATAGAGAAGCCCTGAGTTTTATAATCATGAATATGCCTTGTAGGTTCAAAGAGCAGCAGAGGCCAGTGCGGCTGGAGCAGAGTGGCCAAAAGGGGCGATCAGAGCAGAGAGGTAATGGATTGTGGAACACCTTGCATGAGTCTCTGGATGAGATGGAAAGCTGCTCTAGGGCTTTGAACTGGAAATGACGTGATGTGACTTAGGTTTTAAAAGGATCACTCTGGTTACTGTATTGAGAATAAAATGTGTTGGAAACGGGGAGCAAGAACAGAAGCTAGAAAGCCAGTTAGGAGGTTATTATAATAATCCCACTAGAGATGATGCCAACTCAGACCAGACCTGGGAGAAGTGGTTAGATCCTGCATATTTTGAAGGATTTGCTGATGGGTATGTGTATGCAGAAAGTAGAGGATTCAAGAATGATTCCACAGTTTGGCCTAACGAAATGGAAAGATAGAATTATATTCTGAGATGGGAAAACTGCAGGAGTCAAAAGCCTACAACAGCCTGGTCCATGGTAGGTGCTTTGTGTTGTGAAAGACAATCTTGGGCAGTCTTGCAATCCCCTCTCTCGGCTGTAAGAATGGGCCTTGGGCCTGGAACACTTACTTAGCAAGAAATAGAGTCCTCACAGCCTGTGCTCCTGTGTTCTGCTTAAGCATCCTATGGCACCTGGCCAGCCCCACTGTTGTATCTGTCCCCTGGGGGGAGAAGGAGGAGTCATTGTGCTGTAGCCATGAGGGCTGAGTGCAGGCCAGCTGCCCTGCATGGCTGCCTAGGTTCCCCCTGCTGGCCATGGGGGAACCAACCCCCAGTCCTGATACTGATCTTGCTCTGTTTCTTCTGTGTGAGTCAAGTGCTGTTCCCTCCACTGCTTGACTGTGTTGTTTTCCATGGTGACTCCAGTACCAAGGTGTACTGAGCAGAAGTGTTTGGACTTCTACACCTGGTGACAGGCCACAGATGCCACTTGCTCGACACTTTGTAAATATTCTGTGAATGAATGAATGGGAAGGTTTGGACTTCAAGTTAGGGGCTGTTAATTTTGAGATGACTATTAGACCTTTAAGTAGAGATGTTGAGTGGTCAATTAGATGTAAAAGTTTGGGGACTTCCCTGGTGGTCCATTGGCTAAGACTCTGCACTTCCAACTGCTCGAGGAGCTAAGATCCCACATGCCGTGTGCACAGTGCGGCCAAAAAAAAAATGAGATGTAAAAGTTTGGAGAGCAGGGGAGAATAAACAATAAAGTTATTTGGAAAGAATTGGCATCTCCATAACGAGTGTTTCTACCCAACAAGAGACATATATAAGAATGTTCATAACAGCATTATTTGCAGTAGATTTAAACTGGAAAACAAGATTCATCAACAAAAGAATGAAAAAATAAATTGTGGTATAATCATAGAATGGTATTCTACAGTAATGATAACGAATGAACTGAGGTATATGCAACAACATTGATGAAGCCAGCCATAAAAGAATTCTGTGTGATTCCATTCATATAAATAAAACTAAACTATGGTGTTAGAAGTCAGGATGGATATTAGAGGGAGGAGGGAGCAGATAGTGATTGGGAGATTGCACTAGGGTACCTTCTGGAAGGCTTCTGTTTTTTTATCTGAGTGGTGATTGTGTGTTTACCTTGTCATCACTCATTGAACTGTTCATTTGAGTGTTGGACACTTTTGGAGATATATGTTATATTTCTAAAAAAAAATAGTTAAACTGTTATGTTAGAATATTGCCTCCCAAAGAATTTGCTTAACAGACTCCAGTTTCTATAGTTATGCTTCATTCCTAGCTATTCTTGAGGTTTTAAGTGGTCATGAAAGATACACGATAATCTATTTAAACTATAATGGGAAGAGTGTTGTACAAATAACTGAATTCCTAATATTGGGAAAGAGGATGAATAACAACCACTGAAAGAAATAATGCAGGGTTTAGCGTACCCATCTTGACATCTAAAATGTTATTCGATTTTTAAGTTTGGAATTTAAAGTGAATTAGAGAAAACTCAGTAGGAAATCTTGAGTTTAAATATAGCAGTGAAGCTTCAAACCCCGCATATGGAACTATAAGATAGAACATTATTTCTCAATAGAATGCAGTAACCTTATAACGGTATACTTGAGTTAGGTATGTGTTAATTATTTTGAGCTTTGAGCATTAAGGTGAATCTACAATTTCATCCTATTTGTACAAGGATGTTTACCTTTACAGTGTTTATCAATGATATTAAAGACACCTATACAGTGTAGTCACTTAAGACCCAAATCCCACTCTTAAGTATCTATGAGTCATGACCTCCATGACATTTTGCTTTAATTGCCTCAACTCCCCACCACAACCGTAGACCAAATCTAACAAGAAAAAATATAATGGGGGTAAGTGCAAGGTCTTATGTTTAGGTTCAGATGCAGAAAGTAAAAGTATGATTTACCAACATAGGTGATGAAATTTCAGTGAATTTTATTGATGTAAGATCACTCTTCAATGGGACTACCCCCTCAAAAGATAAATGTAATTGTAGGCTTCATTACTGCAAGTAATGGAGATAATTAGATCACACCAAGAATATTATGGTCAGTTTGGGGCACCCTATTTTTAAGAGTGACATTACAAATTAAAGGTCATCCAAAGGAAACACCAAGTTTTGAGGGGTTGTGAAAAATGGATTATGTGGCAAAGAAACTGACTCTGTAGTCTAACAACAACCTGTAAATCATTATCCCCATTTTACAGAAAGGAAACTGAGGCTCACAGATAATTCATGCTTTATTAAAATGTAATTCAAAAGTGGTTGGCTCAGGCCCCATGTCTCTTGATTCTTCATTTACTATTGTTGTTTCAAAATATTGGTTTTAGTTATATTTTATAAAGGCCTGGCTGTTAACCCTTATATGAGGAAAACTTGAAATTATAGGGGAATGATTACAGATTAAATGAGGGAAAGGGAACATTCAGAGTGGGAAGATCAGTGTGAGAAAATAGTTTGATTATAAGTTTATTAGTATTACAGAAACGTCTTATACACATTTCTCTCTTTTTCAAGGTTTTTGACTCCAGTGAAGAATCTGGGCATCTTGTTCTCACCATAGTTATATCGGGTCATTTCTTCATTTCCCAAGGACAGACACTGTTGGTAGGTTTTATGCATATAGTTTTATATGTAGATATATTTATCTTTGTAGCTTTACATTAATTTTGTATCATCAAGGATCTTCAGTCTCATTGAAATTCATCAGGTTCAACAACTTAAGCATTTATTGAATGTTCTATAACAGTGGGAAATAGAAAAAACATAATGAATATTTCCTGCCCTAAAGGGGTTTAGGGTTTTGTTGGGAGTCAAAGTGGATCAAAGGATTGAGATTAATCGGTGTTATAAAGGATTCTTCATTGGGGAGATTGGGTTGAAGACAGGTTAGATTTATAGAGAGATGGGTGTGGGTTTTCCGGATAGAATAAAGAGCATGTGCAGAGGGATAGTTTTGAGAAAATAGCTAAAAGAAAATTTGAAGCATGCTATTATCAGTTGATAGAGTCCTCTATAAAACTCTAATTTTATTTTATTTTATTTTTTATTAAAGTATAGTTGATTTACAAGGTTGTGTTAGTTTCTGGTATACAGCAGAGTGATTCAGTTGCACATATATATACATATTATTTTTCATATTGTTTTTCATTATAGGTTATTATAAGATATTGAATATAATTCCCTGTGCTGTACAGTAAATCCTTATTGTTTATTTTATATACAGTAGTTTGTATCTGCTAATCCCAAACTCCTTATTTATCCCCTCACATTTCCTCTTTGGTAGCCATGAGTTTGTTTTCTATGTCTGTGAGTCTGTTTCTGTTTTGTAAATAAGTTCATTTGTATCATATTTTAGATTCCACATATAAGTGATCATATGATATTTGTCTGATTTACTTCACTTAGTATGATAATCTCTAGGTTCATCCATGTTGCTGCAAATGGCAAAATTTCATTCTTTTTTATGGCTGAGTAGTATTCTGTTGTGTGTGTGTGTGTGTGTGTGTGTGTGTGTGTGTGTGTGTATACATCTTCTTTATCCATTCAGCTGTCGATGGACATTTAGGTTGTTTCCATGTCTTGGCTGTTGTGAGTAGTACTGCTATGAACATAGGGGTACATGCATCTTTTTCAATTAGAGTTTTGTCCAGGTGTATGCCCAGGAGAGGGCTTGCTAGATCATATGGTAGTTCTATTTTTAGTTTTCTGAGGAACCTCCATACTGTTTTCCATAGTGGCTGCACCAACTTACATTCCCACCAGCAGTGTAGGAGGGTTCCCTTTTGTCCACACCCTCTCCAGCATTTTTCATTTGTAGACTTTTTAGTGATGGCCATTCTGACTGGTGTGAGGTACCTCACTATAGTTTTGATTTGCATTTCTCTAATAATTAGTGATGTTGAGCATCTTTTCATGTGTCTACTGGCCATCTGTATGTCTTCTTTGGAGAAATGTCTGTTAAGGTGTTCTGCCCATTTTTCGACTGGGTTTGTTTTTTTTGTTGTTGAGTTATATTAGCTGTTTGTATATTTTGGAGATTAAGCCCTTGTCAGTCACGTCATTTGCAAATATTTTCTCCCATTCCATAGAATGTCTTTTTGGGGTTGTTTTATCGTTTCCTTTGCTGTGCAAAAGCTTATAAGTTTGGTTAGGTCCCATTTGTTTATTTTTGTTTTTATTTCTGTTGCCTTGGGAGACTAACCTAAGAAAATATTGCTACAATTTATGTCAGAGAATGTTTTGCCTATGCTCTCTTCTAGGAGTTTTATGGTATCATGTCTTATGTTTAAGTCGTTAAGCGGCCTTTGTTTTAAAGTCTGTTTTGTCTGATATGAGTATTGCTAACTTTGCTTTCTTGTCATTTCCATTTGCATGAAATATCTTTCTCCATCTCCTCACTTTCAATCTATGTGTTTCCTTCGCCCTAAAGTGGGTCTCTTGTAGGCAGCATATTGTATGCTCTTGTTTTATTATCCAACCTGCCACTCTATGTCTTTTGATTGGAACACTTAGTCCATTGACATTTAAGATAATTATTGATAGATATGCATTTATTAACATTTTAAACCTTGTTTTCCAAAAGCTCTAATTTTATAAAAATGCATACATTCTTTATTCTGAATATACATAAACACACACATATTGTAGGAAACTTTTAGAATGAAGAAATATATAAAGGAGAAATGAGAATCTCCTTGCTTGAAAGTTCATTTTTTTAATTGAAGTATAGTTGATTTACAGTATTGTGTTAATTTCAGGTGTATGGCAAAGTGATTCAGTGATATATATATATATATATATATATATATATAAAATATATATATAATAAATATATATATACACACACATACACATATTTTCAGATTATTTTCCATTATAGGTTATTACAAGATATTGAGTATAATTCCCTGTGCTATACAGTGAATCCTTATTGCTTATCTGTTTTAAATATGGTAGTGTGTTTATGTTAATCTCATACTCCTAATTTATCCTCCCCTCCCCCTTCACCTTTGGTAACCATAAGTTTGTTTCCTATGTCCGTTAGTCTGTTTCTGTTTTGTGAATAAATTCATTTGTATTATTTTTTAGATTCCACATATAAGTGATATCATATAATATTTGTTTTTCTCTGTCTGATTTCACTTAGTATGATATTCTCTAGGTCTATTCATGTTGCTGCAAGTGGCGAAATTTCATTCTTTTTATGGCCAAGTAATATTCCATTGTACATACCACCTCTTCTTTATCCATTCATCTGTCGATGGACATTTAGGTTGCTTCCATGTCTTGGTTATTGTGAATAGTGCTGCTATGAACATTGGGGTGCATGTATCTTTTCAAATTAGAATTTTTGTCTTTTCTGGATATATGCCCAGGAGTGGGATTGCTGGATAATAATGGTAACTCTATTTTTAGTTTTTTAAGGAAGCTCCACACTGTTTTCCGTAGTGGCTGCACCAGTTTATATTCTCACCAACAGTGTAGGAGGGTTCCCTTTTCTCCACATCCTCTATAGCATTTATATTTGTAGATTGAAAATTTCTGTTTGAATTGGTATTTAGAAACAAAATGAATAAAGAAACAAGACAATTATTAGCTTCCAATCAGATAAATTGTACAAGAAAGGAAATGTAAGAGAAGGTTATTACATCATTTACATTGACATAATGAATTTGTACAAATATTTACTGAATATCTACGTAGGCATAATTTATTTACTTAACAAGTACTGTATGCTTGGCATTGTACTAGGTGCTAGGGATATAGCAGTGAAGAGTAAAGACAAAAATCCCTGTCATCATGGAGTGTCATCATTCTAGTGGGGAGAAACAGTAATAAACAAATAGTTCAAATATATTTAAAAGACATGAATTTTTGGTGAATCCCTTACACATTCTGTTATAATATGGCAGCATCCCACAGTTGTGTATTGTGATGATTCATCTTTCGACTCTAGTGGAAGATAGCCTTATCTTTGAATGTGAGATGACCTGCAAAGTCATCTTTGCATTCCTTGTGACTTTTAAAATTTAGCACTACTTGTACAGTTGTGCTTTATCTGCCACTGTTAGGGCTTGTATCAGCTGCCAAGAGGTAAGTTTTGTTGTTCAACTTCGAATGTAGAATCCCAGATGGTGGACTGATGGATGCCTAGCACATAATTAATTCTCCTTGTCAGTATCGTGGGTCTTTGCTGAGTGGTGACATTAATGCAGTTTGGCTTCCTCAGACATAGGGGCCCACCCTGTTCCTTGTCTCTGCTCCATTCTTTTGCACCAATGGTAGATGTTGTTACAAACTTGGTATCATACATGGAATGATTTTTTGCACTGCAGTAACAAAACCAAGTTTATTAAATTCCAAGACATCACTATTGAGAAATATTGTAGCTCTACAATTTGGTGCATGTTGCATATACATATATAACTTGAGTAATATTTTTTAAAATCTTCTTTAAATTCTTTTTATTTTTTATTATACCAAATGTTTATATAATTTCAATGTGAAAAAAACTTACATACATTTGTTAAGGTCTCATTGTAATCGGTGAGATGGATCACAAAGAAAGAGGTGAATGATATAAGCCATGCTCCCCCCAAAATTCACTCCATGCATTTTGATTCCCACAGTGTACTTTTTGTGTAAATTTGTATCTTCAAGATGATTTCTCAGATGTAATCATAAGCCTGTCTGTCAAGGGAGTTTACATCAGCAGATTGGGCAAGCACATCACAAGGAAGTTATTTCCAAATCTAAAGCCCAGGATGAGCTGGGTCAGGCCCTAGGCACCTGCTTTCCGTTGCCATCATCACAGACTTCCTGGGTATCTCACAATATTCAATGTGAAAATAAAAAACACCCCAAGTCTTAAAACAAAATATAGGCTCTTAGAAGTATGCTTTGGGCTTCCCAGGTGACGCAGTGGTTGGGAGTCTGCCTGCTGATGCAGGGGACGTGGGTTCGTGCCCTGGTCCGGGAGGATCCCACGTGCCGCGGAGCGGCTGGGCCCGAGAGCCGTGGCCACTGGGCCTGCGCGTCTGGAGCCTGTGCTCCGCAACGGGAGAGGCCACAGCGGTGAGAGGCCCGAGTACCGCAAAAACAAAAAAACAAAAACAACAACAACAAAAAAAGAAGTATGCTTTAGCTTTTTAAAACAATAAGACATTTTGGGGGTGTGGGGGGGAATTTGAGACATAGTTAACACTTATTTTGGCAAGATAGCAATGAAAACCTGAAAAGCATAAGCTATGTGTCCAAATGCAAAAGTCATCAAAGAACCATAGTTTATCAGGGGAAAAATCCACACTGAACAAAAGATACAGTATGTCTAAATATTTTGAAATTGTAATTTGAATCAAGAGTAAATGCTGAAAAATTATGCTCAGTGTTTGCTAGAGATTAAGTGTACCTTTTCCTGCTTCCCCCAAATAAAATCATAGAGCTTACTATTTAATCACTCCCCAGAGTTTCAGTTTTCTCTCAGTATAAAGCAAGAGCTACATACACATAATAAAATGCTTATATGTTAATGTAATAATTCCCCTGGCTCATCCAACGTGCAAGTGCACATGACTTCAAAGACTACAATTTGGGGCAAGTATAGA